TTTTGGAGAGATCGAGGCTGGAAAAGCTCAAATTCCCAGTTCCCGGCTCTGCCGCCCCAGGGACCCGCGGCGGCCCAGAGGATGGCGGGAACCATGATTTTGGAGAGATCGAGGCTGGAAAAGCTCAAATTCCTGGTTCCCGGCTCTGCCGGGCGCCCCAGGGACCCACGGCAGCCCAGAAAATGGCGGGAGCCAAGATTTTGGAGAGATCGAGGCTGGAGAAGCCCGAAATCCCGGTTCCCGGCTCTGGCGCCCCAGGGACTCACGGCGGCTTAAAGGATGGCTGTGGCTGGCGCTCTGGGACCCACGGCGGCCCCGAGGATGGCGGGAACCATGATTTTGGAGAGATCCAAGCCGGAAAAGCCCGAGATCATGGTTCCCGACTCTGGCTGGCGCGCCTGGGGCCCACGGCGGCCCCGAGGATGGCGGGAACAATGATTTTGGAGAGATCCAAGCTGGAAAAGCCCGAAATCATGGTTCCCGGCTCTGGCTGGCGCCCCTGGGACCCACGGCGGCCCCGAGGATGGCGGGAACCATGATTTTGGAGAGATCCAGGCCGGAAAAGCTCGAAATCATGGTTCCCGGCTCTGGCTGGCGTCCCTGGGACCCACGGCGGCCCAGAGGATGGCGGGAACCATGATTTTGGAGAGATCGAGGCTGGAAAAGCCCGAAATCATGGTTCCCGGCTCTGTCTGGCGCCCCTGGGACCCACGGCGGCCCAGAGGATGGCGGGAACCATGATTTTGGAGAGATCGAGGCTGGAAAAGCCCGAAATCATGGTTCCCGGCTCTGTCTGGCGCCCCTGGGACCCACGGCGGCCCAGAGGATGACGGGAACCATGATTTTGGAGAGATCGAGGCTGGAAAAACCCGAAATCATGGTTCCCGGCTCTGTCTGTCGGCTCTGTCGGCTGCTGTTCTGCTGCTCTCTGCTGTTCTGCTGCTCTCTGCTGTTCTGCTGCTCTCTGCTGTTCTGCTGCTCTCTGCTGTTCTGCTGCTATCTGCTGTTCTGTGCCTGTTCTGTGCTCTCTGCTGTTCTGCTGCTCTCTGCTGTTCTGCTGCTCTCTGCTGCTCTGTGCTCTCTGCTGCTCTGTCCGAACCCGATTGGATTGGTTTTCGCTCGATTGGTTTTCGCTTGAACGGATTACCTTTTCGCTCGAACGAGCGTCTTTTCGCTTGAACGATCCACCCTCGAATTCACCCGGTTTAATTTCATCCGGTTTCATTTCGCCGGGTTTACATTCATCCGGTTTTATTTCGTCTGGTTTTAATTCATCCAGTTGTATAATCGCGCGGTGTGACATTCTCCCAGAGGGCGTCCCGTGTAGGAAACGGCGCGTGCGCCAAAACACCTCAATTCTGAACTCGGATTTCGGCCGAAGTCGGAAAGTAGGGGGCTGGAGTCGGGAACGAAGTAACTGGAGTCTGAATGACAGGCGCTGGATTCTGAAAGCTGGCAGCCGTAGGCGGGAAACTGGGAGACGGAGCCAAAGAGACGGACGTCGGAGCCGGAAAAGTGCGAGCTGAACTCAGAGTGAAGGCGTTGGGATCGGAAAGTTTGGTGTCGGAGTCGAACAAATATCCCGGCAAAGCAACCTAACAGCGATGTGTAGGAGCATATCTGGAAGCATTCCCCTTAAGATTCACATGAGAATCCAGTTGTAGAATTCTGCTGTTCTCGCAGTCGCAGTCGCATTCGCGATGAAAGTCGCAGTGGCAACGGCAGTCGCAGTCACAGCCTCAGCCTCAGCCTGCCTCAGCCTCAGCCTGCCTCAGCCTCAGCCTGCCTCAGCCTCAGCCTCAGCCTGCTTCAGCCTCAGCCTCAGTCTGCCTTCAGCCTCGGCCTCAGCCTCAGCCTGCCTCAGCCTCAGCCTGCATCAGCCTCAGCCTCAGCCTCAGCCTGCCTCAGCATCAGCCTGCCTCAGCCTCAGCCTCAGCCTGCCTCAGCCTCAGCCTCAGCCTGCTTCAGCCTCAGCCTCAGTCTGCCTTCAGCCTCGGCCTCAGCCTCAGCCTGCCTCAGCCTCAGCCTGCATCAGCCTCAGCCTCAGCCTCAGCCTGCCTCAGCATCAGCCTGCCTCAGCCTCAGCCTCAGCCTGCCTCAGCCTCAGCCTCAGCCTGCTTCAGCCTCAGCCTCAGTCTGCCTTCAGCCTCGGCCTCAGCCTCAGCCTGCCTCAGCCTCAGCCTCAGCCTCAGCCTCAGCCTCAGCCTCCTCAGCCTCAGCCTGCCTCAGCCTCAGCCTCAGCCTCAGCCTCAGCCTGCCTCAGCCTCAGCCTCAGCCTGCTTCAGCCTCAGCCTCAGTCTGCCTTCAGCCTCGGCCTCAGCCTCAGCCTGCCTCAGCCTCAGCCTGCATCAGCCTGCAGCCTCAGCCTCAGCCTGCCTCAGCATCAGCCTGCCTCAGCCTCAGCCTCCTCTGCCTCAGCCTCAGCCTTCAGCCTCAGCCTCAGTCTGCCTTCAGCCTCGGCCTCAGCCTCAGCCTGCCTCAGCCTCAGCCTGCATCAGCCTCAGCCTCAGCCTCAGCCTGCCTCAGCATCAGCCTGCCTCAGCCTCAGCCTCAGCCTGCCTCAGCCTCAGCCTCAGCCTGCTTCAGCCTCAGCCTCAGTCTGCCTTCAGCCTCGGCCTCAGCCTCAGCCTGCCTCAGCCTCAGCCTGCCTCAGCCTCAGCCTCAGCCTGCCTCAGCATTCAAAATGTGGCCCGGGAATGGAGTTCTGGGAACTCGAAGAACACGAAGTGGCCTACAGTTGGCTCCGGGCATTCAAAATCATGCCCAGGAATGGAGTTCTGGGAACTCGAAGACCACGAAGTGGCCTACAGTTGGCTCCTGGGCATTCAAAATGTGGCCCGGGAATGGAGTTCTGGGAACTCGAAGACACGAAGTGGCCTACAGTTGGCTCCGGGCATTCAAAATGTGGCCCGGGAATGGAGTTCTGGGAACTCGAAGACCACGAAAAACCTACAGTTGGCTCCGGGCATTCAGAATGTGGCCCGGGAATGGAGTTTTGGGAACTCGAAGAGCACGAAGTGGCCTACAATTGGCTCCGGGCATCCAAAATGTGCCCCGGGAATGGAGTTCTGGGAAGTCGAAGAGCACGAAGTGGCCTACAGTTGGCTCCGGGCATTCAAAATGTGGCCCGGGAATGGAGTTCTGGGAAGTCGAAGAGCACGAAGTGGCCTACAGTTGGCTCCAAGCATTCAGAATGTGGCCCGGGAATGGAGTTCTGGGAGGTCGAAGAGCACGAAGTGTGTGACTGTTTGCGAAAAACGTATTCGAACACGAGTTCGGACACAGCTCCCCGGGTCCCGCCCCGACCCCCCTGTGGAGTCATCTGCTGCTCTCTTTTGACACCACTAGAAACCTATCAGCAAAAGCTGTTAGGTAATTAGGAGACTGGGTCGGAGATTGGGAACAGGAGTCTGAGAGATGGGAGCTGGAATCGGTTGGGAGCCGGAGTCGGGGAGACGGGCGTCGGAGTCGGAAAATTGGGAGCTGGACTCGGAGAGATGGGAGTTGGGGTCGGAAAGTTTGGTGTCGGAATCGACAAATTAGGAGACTGAGTCGGAGAGTTGAGAACCCCAGTCGGAGAGATGGGAACTGGAATCGGTTGGGAGCCGGAGTCGGGAAGACGAGCGTCGGAGTCGGAGAATTGGGAGCAGGACTCGGAGAGATGGGAGTTGGGGTCGGAAAGTTTGGTGTCGGAGTTGAAAGATGAGGAGACTGAATCGGAGAGTTGGGAACCGGAGTCGGAGCGATGGGAGCTGGAATCGGTTGGGAGCCGGAGTCGGAGAGACGAGCGCCGGAATCGGAAAGTTCG